CCTTTCATCAGCAGTGGGCTGTTGGAAGAGTTCAGCTTAAGGCACATTTTCAGATGCCCAAATCACTTTTACAGTGTCTCCTGTAGCTATTTTACAATCTCAGTGATTTTCTTTCAAATTTACATTACAGCTCCTGCGCGTGAGCTGCCTACATCGTGGCGGCAGGTGAGGGCAGCGTGCTGGCGCCGGGTCTCGGCTTTAAACCAGTCTGCCTCACTTGTGTACTGCCAACAGCCTCGTCCGCAGGGAGCTGAGCGCAGGCCGAGAGAATCGCAGCCCGAGAACCAATCTTTAGGATTCATTTAGTCCATTCCCTGCGCTAGGGCAGGATCAATGCTCCTTATATCATCCTGACAGAGCTTTGTCTCATCTGTTACTAAATGCTGTCAGTGACAACCGCACTGAACAATCTAATTAGTTCTTCCCTCACTATCAGAATTTTTTTCTTAGGCTAAGCATGAATCTTTCTTGATGCAAGTTAAGTTTGCTTCTTCTTGTCCTACTACCAAGGACAGGGAAATCAGATTTTTCCTTCCCTCAGAGGCTTTTTACGTCCTTGAAGGTTGTCAGCAGATCTCAGTTCTGCCTCCTCCTGCCCCCAGCCCCTTTAGCCTTGCCAGCTAAGTCGTGCTTTCTAGAACTGTGAACATCCTCATCGCCTCCCTCTGAGCGGAATGCAATGATTATTGCCAGTGGCTCCTGGGTTATAGCGTTCACCACCTTCCATAAGATCACACCATCATGCCTTGCGGGCGGTTCGTGAGCTGCTGTAACTCGCAGATCCTTTTCTGCAGAGCTACTTGTTCCTCATACTCGTCACTGCTTTCCCAGCGTCATTTCTCGCGCCTCGTTTCAGCTGAGCGTAATTCTGTTTTCATATTGTTTCTGCAACTTGTCAGCATCATTTTGAATTCTGTTCCTGCCCTCCAAAATACTTGCAGTCACATCCAGCACTCGAGGAAGCTGGTTTCTTACCCAGGTCATTAATGAAACAGCTCCAGCATTGAAGGAATACAGAACAGGCTGAGAACAGACCGTCCCAGCCCCTCCATCCCTATGTCCTATTTCAGCAGTAAACCTGATATAAATTCTCTCCGAGGAGAGGTGTTCAGACAATATATAGTGTGTTTGTGCAGATTATGCTTTCTTGGACTTCTTAGGAGAGGTGTAGAGAATTACTAAACTACCATGTCTGCTGTTACACGACTGCTGTTGATCACTTTGCGAAGAACGATATTAAAAGGTGTTAGACTTCAGCCGCCTTTGCATCACGTGCAGTTGGCTTTTTAATAATGTTGCCTGTAAAAGTAAGCCTGCGCTAATCTGCGTGCTCTCACAGCTAGATTGCTATCGACAGTGAATGTAGCTCTTGCACAGTTAATTGCAGCAGCTCTTTCGTCTGCAGAGCAGGCAGGCTTTGATCTAAGCAGATTCCTGCACTTTGTTTATTGCTGCAACGCTTAAAGCCTCCGTAAAACTTTGGAAAAGGCCAGTCGGAACAATGGGTGACTCAGCGTGAGCGCGTGGTGTTCAGGTTGTCCCTTCTCTGCCCTTCACATCCAGCGTGTCCCCAGCTGGTTATTGCTCTCTGGAGCTAGCAGGGGGTACTTACATCATTCCCAATCTGTGTCGCTTTTCGTCTCCATACAAGATAAAAACCGTTCCCTGTTTCTCCTGTTAAAGGCAAAGTTGCTTCAATTATTCCTAAAGTAGTGATCATTATCCTAAGTGGGATATAGAGGGACAGTAAGCACACATGCATGTCTAAGAAAGACTAGTTTTCAGTTGTGTGTAGTGGATTATTGCTCACTCTAAGCAGTTTATTGCTTTAACTAACTGCAGAGAATACATTAACTTTATATAAATACAATATATATGGCAGAGTCTACTCATCAGCAAATATTTTTGTTCCAAAGCAGGAAGAGGTGGTCCTAAATATCTTAAAAATTATCTCCTTACACAGTTATTTGTATCAAGAGACAGGTTAACCCCTAAAAGCCCTACACACACTTAAATTGAAGAGACAGCCAAAATATGTTTACGTTTTCCTGTTCTGAACACTCGTAGTTCACCTTCGACACACACGGGACTTTGATTAACCTTCTGCTCTGGTGCATCAGAGGCCCGATACCGGTGACAGTCTGGAGAGCAGCAAAACTCACCGGTTCAATTTTAGGTGTGCCTGGCGACAGTTATTGTGCATCACCGTGAGAGGCCTCCTGAGCGGTGCCGTCCCTGGGGAGGGCTTGTACTGAGGAAGCCCCATGAACTCTGCATTTCCCAGCGTGCTCAAGGATCTAAAATCTCGATCTGCTCTTCTGTCTCGCCTGACATCTTCTAAACTCTTCTACATTTCATTCTTTTACGTTTCTGCTCATAAGCCTTAAGCACTTTCTTTCCTAGCAAAAACGGTGTTTTCATGTCTTTGTTCCCCTTTCTGTTCTCCATTATCACCCGACCTCTTGCCCTCTGAGGGTATCACCTTCTCTTGCGGGCACAGCAGTGTGTGAAAGGGCCATTTGATGGCCACATGAAAACCTGGTTCCAGCATCGATCTAACTCCCAGCACTGGCTGGCAGCTGGGAACTACTGAAGACCTTCACGCAATTCAGAGTTCATTAATTCACATCGTGAAAACAATCTGAAATAAAACAATTCTGCTTTATACCGAGTCCCCTTCAACAACACCGTAGGGCAACACCTTGCCGTGTCTTTAACACGACACTTAAACATGAGATTATGCTAAACAGAACGCTTAAACTTTACATTGCGCTAAGTGGTTCCACCGTATTAGAATTTGCATGTGACAATTATGCAGAGTGAGCATCACGTTTTCCAATCTTTTGCGTTCATACCTGGAGGTCGAATCCAACACCACGAGCTTTACACATCTGGAGGAGAACGTTATAGCAGATTCCTGAGAGGCCAGAGTGCCTCAGCTGACTGCTCGCTGCTGCACACCGGCTGCTTATTGGACCAGGCTAGAGAAAACAACACAGGATTCTGTATCATCCCAGTTTGCATCAGAAACCAACAATTTACTATTGAAACGGCTTTTTCCTCAGTGAACTCGGGTAAGTGTGGAGTGAGGCTCCATTCGGAGGAATTCTGTTCATCTCAACGTCTGTGTTGAAAGTGGATTTTCAAATCCTCACCTCACGCTGAACGTAAAACCTTGTATTATAGATCAGGTCAACAGAATCACTCTTCACGAACCACATTTTGGTATTTTCACAGCTTCACGGGTACCCGACCCTGCGAAATTATTCTGAGTGGATCCTCTGAACCGTCTGCTGTTCCAGAGTCAGCTCTTCTCGACAGCACGAATTCCAAAGCGGAAAATCAGTAGTTTTTGAACATTCTGCTGCAGCATCAGCACGTGTAATTGTCCTGGCAAGTCTCTGAGGAGAGCCGGCACAGGGAGTGGGCACAGGAGCTACACAGCTCCTGCCAGTGGAGTTCGTACTATGGATAAAATCGGTGCTGCCGCTGAGTTTCAGTTCCTGTCAGTGCTTAGGACAGAAGAGCAGAGGTGGTGCATGGAGCAGAACTGAACAGAGAAGTTCTCCTCAACCGAGGTTTTCCTGTGATACCATTTTCAATGCCGGACTGTTCCTTCAGAGCAGGGATACTGCACGTTGAAGCATGTAATTTACAGCACTTTTCCGAAAATGATACTCGTTTTGACATTGACTCATTTGAGTTGACATAGCTGAAATCCTTACATAATACATCTCTGCCTGAAAATTAATCATGTTTATAATATTCTGAGAATTAATAACACCCATTGCTCAAGTCATTAACTTAAAAAAGGAGCTTCCAAAATCTGTTCTCTGCAGTAGGGGACCACAAATAAATGAATGCTTGATAAAATAATCCAAGTAGCAGTTTAACAAGCGTAAACTTGAATGTGGCTGCAATAACACAGAACTATTGTTTAAGGGTTGGCATCAGGTTGATGAGGTGCTTATTTCAGCTACAAAGCATGCATACACATGCATAATGAACTGCAGTATGAATTATTAATGTGTTGCTTATTTAGCCTCATCTGTCTAGAAGATAATGTATCCTAACTATAATGAGTGATTGGTTTTGTACATAATTACAGTAGCAGCAGTATCTAGGAAATTTGTTCTTTCAAAGAAGGATTTCTAAAAATAAAATCGTCGCACAAACTCGGCGGCTGCTCCATTTTATCAAAATCAAGCCGACCAGGATTGAGAATATATAATAAATTAAAAGGGACAGAATCATTATTAACATCATAATTTTACACAAAGTGTTTTACTTAATCATTCATTACAGATCATGTGCTGTAAGAGCATTTGTCTCTTGGTTTGTTTGGTGTTTTTTTTCCTAAAGATACCTTCCGGAGAGAGCACATTTTTGTAGTTAACTCTTAAGGAGATAAAAACCTCAGAAATACAGAAAGAAGAAAAAACAATAAAGGATATAGTGACACTTTATGTTAATCCTGACAGAATTTTAATTAAAAAAAGTTGCTACTTGATTACTTTTCATTTCTAAAACTTGCACTACTGGGACTAATCGTATCTAATTTACTTCTCTCCAACTAAAAGTGGTTGCTTGACAAGAACAATAGATCAAGAGCTCATTAACCTCTAAATTATAGCTCCATGACATTTTTGGAATGATGCTGCATTCCTCCTCTATGTTTGGAAAAAAAAAATAAATAAAAAGGGAGTTGTGAATCTTCTGCCAAAACGTGTCAAACCGTGTCTGGTTAATATCTATACCCAGACATCTCCCCTTCTCTGTCTTTCTAAAGGTCCTTCTTCCCTTTTTAGAGGAACCGTCTCAAGGTTCAGAGCTCTGGTAAATCCTGCACCGAGACTGATCTCATATAACAAAGACTGAGCTTGGGGGACTTGGGGGCTCAGCTCTCTTGCTTGGGGTTGCAAACGGGAGCTTCTCCCCCTCAAGCTTCACAGGTCTGGTCCAGAGAGAGCAGGAAGGAGTATGAGCACAAATCCTGCTTCGGGAACTCCCAATCACAGAATTATTGAGGCTGGAAAAGAGCTCTGAGATCGTCAAGTCCTCCCCTCAGTTAGGGCGCTGTGAGGTTTTCTTCCCGTTCAAACGGCTGTGTCCACAATGAGCACTGAATAATTAATACCGAGTGTTAATACTGAACAGTCAGATGGATGCAGAACTGAGTGAAGGTTCTGAGAACTCAGATTCGGGTTTAACTCGAGAGCTGGGAGGGATTTAGGCATTCAGATCCTTCTGCAGATGTACCCGTGATTGCCTTACCCTCAGTTTGTGCATGAAAGTACAGAGCTGGGGTAGAATTTCAGTGCTTCAACTGATCCTCAGGCAGAGCTTGTGAGCTGAAGGCTCAGACTTCTTGACTGCTTTTAAGCTACTCCCATAGTCAGGGCAGCGCGTTCATCTCCTTCCTTTTTCTTGCAACACATACATTGCCACCTTTTCTTTTTTTTACAGCTGCCTGAAATAATTAGAAGTTAGGTACTACCACACATCAGTGTTACTGAGCACAAAGGATGAGTATCAGGTACCCTTAAACATCCAGAACCTTTCCTTTCATTTCTAATGATGGTGTCCTGTTTACTTTCTTAACCTTGTAAAATGTGAAAGCAGCATTTTAAAATCTGAAAGGAGCAGATTCAGCTCCTCAAGAACAGGGATCTAGGACAGATTTTAACTTCTTAGTAGTTTACGTTAATAATTGTATTTGTAAACACACCGCGACTTACAGTTTTTGTCTCCTCATGCTGCGTGGGTTGGCTTTTCATTTCCTTTGAGCCAGGAGACACCTCAAAGCGGCTGGAGCCACAATCCAGATTTCCATCTGTCACGTACAACAGGAGCTGAGTCAAGGCCAGCTGGTCACTATAGCGAAGGTCAAGGTCTGTTGCCCATACCTAATCAAAACACAAACAGGTACATTAAAATACTAAAAAAAGAAATTAAAAGACAGAACCAGACGGGTGAAACTCAGCAATCGCATAAAGGAACATCTATACCTTTATTTTCATGTGCGTTGGGGTGCATACTTACAGTTTCCTCATGCTGGGGCATCACTGACAGAGATAAACCCCTTCCAAACGGAATTTTCAAAAGTAACTTCTGAGAGAAAACTGAAAGGCTGAAGAGGAAACAGGTACCTGCACTACCACAATTTTAGCACCAGTTAGAAAAAGTAGAGATGAGCTCGACAGCCGTAACGCCTGTATCACATTAAATAGGTAATCCTCTAAATACTCACTTCCCACCTGGATTTTTCAGCTGAAGAATAATTAACATTAAACTCACATAACTACTCAAGAAAACAGATCACAAGGCTGCCCAGGGGAAGATGTCCCACCTCAACCCGTGTGCGGGACATCACAACAGCCTTGTATAAACCACAAGAAGATTTCAGAGCATTAAAGCGCGTAAAAGGCCGGGTTTGCGAGGCTGGTTCGCGCCAGGGGGGCACCGTGGGTCACTTCTGCGAGGCTCCTCCACCTGAGCGTGGCTTTACCCGGGCGTTTTCCCCACTTAAAAATTGCTTGTGCCTACAACACTGGAGAGAAACGTTAGCGCGTGCAAATATCTGCCCTGCGGTGGACCCCTTTAAAACAGCTCTCACAGGCAACAACTTGAATAAGGGTTTGAATGGTAAATGGCGTCATTATAAGGATATTAAGGGGTCAGGCAGCCTAGGCCTCTTGGTAAACTGGAGTTAATTTCTGAATCATATGCACATAGTAATGCCCTTTTTATAGTGGCGAATAAATCACGTCGGTAACAGTTGTTAATATCTAACTGCCAAGTATCTGTTGCTGGATTAAATATCTTATTTGTCAACTTTTCCTGCTGCATAGTATAAAATGCAAATCGGGCGCTAATGGCTGGGCTTACTTAGTAATAGAGGAATATTCCCCAATTATAATGCTTAATTTTCTTTAATAATTTATTCTTTATCATCACTTCTGCAAGGCAGGGACTTTCACATCGATTTGTACTTTTCCAGTACGTGCTAACCTTTTCAAAGAGCTGGACAGTAATTATAAACTACACGCACCGTAGAAGGCTTACGTTAATTTCCATAAATATTATCCACAAATCAGTAACAGCCAACATGCCTCGAATTTTCTTCGAGTTGGATTTTAGATTTTCAGAGGGGCAGAGCCCTAAAGAGAAAGTACTGAAGCAGCGAAGAACAGCTCTTAGCACGGTTTCCAGCAATGCCTGGCGTTACAGTGGAGCTAGGAACACCGCTTCCCAGCAAGGTTCCCAGTTCCAAGGGAGGAGCATCCCCCCAGTAAAACCAGCAGAGGGGGACATTTCTACCTGTGGCAGACAGGGGCTGGAAAAAAAACCAAACCTCCACGCAGAAATGCAAGCCTACTGAAATCAGTTAAAGGTCTCAGAACATGGAATAGTAGCTGCAGTCTGTTAAAAACAAAAGAAAAGCACCCAAACCAAATTGAAATGTTTCTTAGAAACACCAACCCAACCCTACCTTTGTGGCACAAAATCTTCAAAAAGCAGTTTAACAGCTCCGCAGGGCTCCGAGCTCAAGCAGAACAAACGTCAGACCTACTTATTAGCTGGGGCTGTTCTGCTCTTGCCAGGCCAGAAAGTTCATTTAGGTTCAGCTCTCTAGTAATAACCACTGGATGGCAACAAGTTTTCCATCCAAATAATCCAAAATCGGTGTCAAAATCTTCTAGAATGCCTTGAAAATCTGAGATGTGGCGTTTTTGTGGTGGTATTATTATTATTTATTATTCCTGCTATTATTATTCTTACTATTATTATTCCTATTATTATTCCATAGTCTATAATGCAATGTGTACAGACTTCAGAGACGTTACAGACACATCCTGATGGGATTGCTGGCAAATTAGCACAGCATAAGGAACTTTCACCTGAGATCTGGGGACTTTCAGGACACTTACATGTTCGGAAATTAAACTGGAAGAGCTCACTTGTCAAGTCTAGAACTGATATTTTATTTTCAAAGAGCAAATAGAAGTTCAAAGAAAACCAGATTTGGGGTTTTATTATGACTTAGAATTAATATTTATATATAAAGTCAGTGGTTAAGATTTTAGATAGTCTTAAGAATGGTTTTAGATGAATCTAAGCAAAACACAGATTAGGACTTTCCAGCATCCTACCACTGTAAAAAAATTAGAAATACACGCTGCAAGACCTACTGGCTGTTTGTCCAAGGAAATATGACGGAGCCTGGAATCGTTCCCTTTTGCACAGGCTGCCACGCGCTGCCAGGAGCCGCGCGCCTTCCGCGTGCACGGCTAACGAGCCGGCGCTCCACGGGAAAATCAGCTCGAGTGAATAAAGTCACAATTATAGTGTAATTCTTTACAGTTGCCATAAAAGCGCTTCAGCTTTAAAACGTAAGCTTGAGAAGGAAACATAAATTCTTAAAGAGTTACCAAATTATCGCTTTGCTTTCTCCGCTTTAACTCTCTTATCTGCATCTAGTATTGATGTCTGCGTTACTCCAAAGAGCACACTTGGTATTTTTAAAGAAGCAGCTGAATGACACCATAAAAATGCCAATTAGTAAAATATTAACGTGGGCACTGAAAAGAGAGCTTCTTTTATGACTTTTGAAATTCGCAACAGAATTGATTCTTTCAGCAGCCTTGGCAGACAGGATCTTATCTGGCTGCCATCTCGTGGCAGCTGCTGGGATGGCCTGGTGCTGGTTCCAAAATTTAACTTTTAGGGCCCTGGAATTGGCCCTAACCTCTACCCTGCTGAATATAAGAGTGGAAGATGGTTAATGAAAAAAACCCCATGCCTCTTGTTTGAAAATAATACAGAGAAAATGCTACATTCTGCCTGGAGTAAGTCTCACCTTTTGGCTGTGCTACATGCTCCAAGCAGAACGTAGCATTTTCTCTGTATTATTTTCAACCGAGAGTTTGAACGTGTCAGCTGCACTGTAACACCAGAGCGGATCGATGGGCTCCAGGGTCAGCTGTGCTCTGCTCCTCCTAACCCCAACCCTGCCTGCAGGGCTGATGCCGTCCTCCTCGGAGTGTTTTTAAGCCACTGGACTGAAACGGAGGGAGAAAACCCACCTAAACCCTCCGAGCTCTGTAGCTGTCTTTTTGGCACGTTTCTGCCTCACCTTATCCTTTGTGCCCAAACTGAACAATTTCTGTCACTCCTGCTGCAAAAGGCGGGGGCCGTGTAAGTTGTCAGACTGATGAAAAAGGTGACTTGTGACCCCACTTCTCCAAATTATCTGCCCACGCATCTAGGGATGTAAGGAAGTTTATGTGTTCAAGCAGTCACGCTCAATTAAACGGACTTATTGAGGTGCAGCTCCTTGGCAAGCTGGGATCCGGGCAGCATTCAGTCGATTCTGTGCAGGACTTCCCTTCCAAGGGTCAAGGCCTTGCTCTTAAAGATCAGTCCTGGAAAAATGGAGTGGGAATCAGTAGCAATTCGGTCCAAGTTATACACCTAATTCTTCTCCTCCACTTTTTCCATCCCAGGACGCTGAAAACAGTGCGTCTCCATCTCCCTTTCCCTCGGGAGCAAATCACAGATGCTTCCAAACTGCAGCTCCGCCAGGTCTACCGTCAGTTTTAATAATTAAGAGCTACGTGTAGATGGAGGACAACGCAAGCCGTAGACATCTCTGACTTACTTGCAGTATGGAAAAGGGGTGGCAAACGGACCAGCTAGGGCTGCACACGTAGTGACCGACTGAAAAGCTCCTCTGTGAGGATGAGGGAAAGGCAGCTGGGAGAAGCTTCGTTACCGAGTAGAAGCACATGGACAGGCCGGTGTAAACACGAGGCTGTATATATGTTCTTATATCCAAGTGGTTACAGCATCACCCAGCTCCTCCGGGACAGCAGCCCTCCTGGACTGCAAGAACTGCAAGAGAGTAAAGTGCCTGTGACGGGCGCAAAGCTCTCCAGTGACCCAAGCGGAGATTATTTTCCCATTTCTGTGTTCGCTCTGGCTTCTCGTTGACCCGTGTGTTTGACAGACACGCATTGCTCCTTGTCCATCACAAAGTCTCTTTGCTACTCGCGCACCAAAGGAGCGCAGCGACATGACAAAAGCACACTGAAGGAAAAGACTCGCCGACCACAGTAGCAACCTTTATAAGCAACACCCCATAGTTCATATCAAAATTAAGTTGATGCTTACGACGTGTAGATTTTTAAAGGCTTTCAGATGAAGAGCCTGAAACTCCAAGTACCTGGATTTCTTTGCTCCGAATTCGCCTTCGCGTGAGAGCGCAGGGGAAGCAGGTGTGAAGACGGGGATTGCAGCACACAGCTGCTCAGTCCGCAGAGGCACAAATGTGTTTTCACTTATTTGGCCCTTTACATTTCTTAAAGAGTTGTATTTATGTAGCTGTAACTTCATGAACATTTCAGGGATTTTTTTACGTATTTAAATACTCAGACTCTATTGGTAACAGATGTTCAACGGTATATTTAATTTTGAGGTTTACCAAAAATATCATGTATCAGTTGATATTTTCTGCAAAATATAACTTTGAAAGCATGCCTAAGTATATTGTACTTCCAGGGAATGTATCTGAGCCTTTCAGCTACTGCATTAAAGTGGGAACTTCTACAATTAGTGAGCAAATGTTCTGAGAGTCTAATAGGATTGCTTGTTTGCCAAAAAAATAGTGCTTTCAGGAATATAATCTTTTGTGTAATCTCTCTCTCCCAGGACAGATGGCACCATTAATTGCCTCTACATCTAGTTAAATTTAAAAACCTGCGCTTAAATAATGTTAAAGTTGTGGTACATGTTGACAAACAGAGGAAATATTAAGGTAGAACCAACTGGAAACAAGGAAGTAAAACCAAGACAGGACAGACAGGAAGAAGCCACCAGAAACGCTGGTTTAATACATCCTTGTTCATGTCAGCAGTGGCACAACCTTAATAACCCAGGAAGCATTTCTGCGTTTCGGTGAACTCCGGCCTTGAGCGAAGCAATTGACAACCTGCCCCTTGACTTCCGTGGGCGAGAATGTCATCCCTTAATCTTTTTATCAACTTGATATGGAAGTTGTCCGATGCGGCTTATCCGCAGTTCTGCTGGCAGCGCCTGTCCAGATACCTTCTGGGAGTCGGACGTAACCACGATCTGCACTTCCGAGCTGGCGTCAGTCCCGTCCTCTGCATTACCACAGTCACCCCACGGTGCTACCGGTCACCACAAGCCTGACTTGAAACCTTCTCTGAGCTTAAAAGTGAATATAAATTATCACAGCACTGCCAAAGAACCAGCTTTTGCCAATAGATACCGTATGCTACCTCCTTGGTTTTAAAGACAAGCCGTGTGTTCAAAGCCTTTGCTCACACTGTACAAGCGGTGACGTGCAGACGCCGAGGAGAAGCGGGCACCCGCATGGATCCAAGCGCCCACGGCACCTTCCGCAAACCCACCCACGCTGCCCAGCCCAGCGCACCAGACACAGACACGTTCCCTTGTAGAGCCAAGTGCTGAACTGCTGAGGGTCCTGATGCAGGTTGGGAGAAGACAACAATGGCTAAAGAGCAAAGGACAAGGGGATTCATTGGAAATACAAGAAATAATTGAGACTCAGCGCTGAGATCTTCAGTCGGCATCTGTATCCGTGTGCTAATTTTGAATTTGTATAGTTGTACCTAGTAAGCTCAGCAATACTATTCATCGCTAGCAGTGCCCATTTTATGTTCTTCAAAAATGAGCTCATTTTCTTCAGTCTTCAAACATAAGGCCACTGCTTTCCATTACCTCTCTCCACTTGAATTAGCCATTCCAACATAAAGCAAATTGTTCATCGCTACCATCCCATTTTCTATTAGAAATTGTCAGTGTCCTCCTCTTCCTTGGAGCCATCCTAAAACCTCAGATCTGCATTCTTGCAGACACTCAAAAGAGTACAATAGGCCCTGTAATTATATTTACAGAGCAAAATACAAGAGATTCAGAACATTTTGAAACTAAAATCACCTAAACTTATTAGCCATAAGAGCATCGTCTGTAATTACCAGCTTAATGCAGAATGCACTTATTTTAGGGGAAAACCAAGTCATTAGAAGAAATTAAAAGACACTTTTCTTAACACTCGGCAACCACACAGGCTGTGTTGGTTTGAATCTCTTTAGGCTGATGAAAAAGGTCCCTCAGGTCCACCAGGCAGATCAGGTTTAAATTTTATGGGTTGGGTTGTTTGGTGTTTTTTAGAATAACCCACGCCTCACCTCCCGCCACATGCCTCATGGCTTAGAAATAAAGTTTGTGGAAAAGGGCAAAGCTTTCTCCTGGTACCTTTTGGAATCAAGTAGGAAAGTGGGCATTTCTTGATCTCAGGGGGACAGCCTGAAGTAACGTATCTGCCCCACTCACCTGCTGCTCCATCGTTTGGGGATGGACGAAAGTCACGAAATCAACGGAGAAGTAACCAAGCACTCCTTCAGATTTACAGGTTTCTCCAATTTTCGAGCAGAGTGAACGAAGAACTGCTGGGTCAACAGAACGCTGTGGAATGGTAGTGCCAGATGATCGCAAAGGCCCGTCGGCGTGGAGCTGGTCTCCAGACGACACGATTTTTATCTCGCCTGTGGGCTCTATCAGCACATCCACTGTAAGGTTTGTGACATTTTCTGAGAACGGGAAGGCTTCTATCACACCACCTAGTAAGAAATGAATTAGCCGTTACGCCAGTAATCAAATTCACATGTGATGCTCTTCAGAGTGCACAGAATGAAACCATCCGGCTCCTATTGTGCTCAGACTTTGCAGGGAGGGCTGCTATGGAAAGAGCGAGTAAATTAACGTAATGCGAGCAGGAGAGCTAGAACCCACGGATCTCTTAGAAGACAAAGAAGATACGCCATCTAGCACAGCACCGTACAGTTCAACCAGTCCTTTTCAACTGCAGTGCTTTGCAGACAGTTCTGAAGGGGATATATCACGTCTGACAGGAGAAAGATCCTCTCGGGCGATACGAATAAATCCTGGGCTGCCTTACAGCCCAGCTGAATGCCAGGCCTAGAAGAGCAACAAAAAGCAATGTTGGGGCTGTTGGGGATTGGTATCTCCTGCTATGAACTAATCTTGGAGATTCCCAGCCATGGGATGGTCTGAGATGTACCGCCTGCCTTTTGGTGTTCGTCCACATGAGCAGCTTGGGGTGTAGATGACAACTTGGAGCATGGTTTTCCATAGGAAAATCACAAAGAAATCTGCTTGGCATTCTGGATTTGCTTTTTTGCTGCCTATATCATCGTAAGTCAGTTAGGATAAACTATCACATGATAAAAAATGGTACTATATATATTAACTGCCATTATTTTTCCAAAAAAGTACTCGCAAAGCTTTGAACCAACCTCGTCTCTTCCCCAGATAAAGTTATGCATTAAATGTCTATAACCATTATATAGGACACAGAATGATAGCAGGGCAGAATCATCACAGAAATTTTCGACCCAGCCACAAACCCCTTTCCCACCCAAAATGTGGCACACATATAGGATGTTAACATGCCTGTGAGAAGCCCCTGGCAGTGGTTAGACACAGGTTTTATCTGTGCTGCCTCTTACAGATGGACTCGGGTTCACGTCTGAGCTCGAGGCCAGTTGGGTCCTGGCCAGCTTCGATCCAGAGGTGCCACGACTGGGTTTAATGCAGGAAGCCCCACCATGCACACAAAACTACGCAGCTATCGGACTGGAGCTTGTTCACCTTCCTCTGGTAGGAGGCAAAAACTAGGGAGCACGCTCAGCTCTTCTTCAAGATGTTAAATGTTACGAGCACGCTTGACTTCGGGCAGTGTATGTGTGTAGCACCCAGAGTTTACAGACAGCTCCTCCCTTCCCAGTCCCTGTGGGAGGGAAAAGGAAGCCTCGCAGGTGTTTGTTCACCAACACCTAACGAAAATGAAATATTCTCACATTTACCTATGGGCCAGCTCACATGTTAGCATTTCCTAAAGCCCTTCTGTCAAATGGGACAGCCTCCAGGACTAAGGTGTTGGTGCTTATTGATTCAGAATCATGTAAGGAAGGTAATCCAGAATTAATACAGGTTAAAAGCTTGCACAGGACGTATGAGTGATAGAACAGTTGCCTATAATTCATTTGTAAATGAACATTTGAAGCAGAATGGAGAAACAAAAGGAGATAAATATTTAAATGGGCCCAAGATTAACTAGAATATGGCATACAATGTGGTATAATTACTCCTTATAACACTTAACAGCGACTTTGCAGTCTTATTTACCTTGACTAAGAAATGTTTGGAGGAATTTTTCCCATGTAGGGAATCGTTTCTCATTGACTGGCTGTACGTGCTGTGCTAAAAGGCCCGGCAGCTCCTGGGAGATCTTCACCAAAGCTGGCTCCTGCAGAAACAAATTAAATAGAACCACAAGCAATTTTACTACAGAAATGAAAACTGCTTGTGGGGTGATTAAAAACCAGGCCTCCAACAGGAAACAACAACAACAAAAAATGTGGTTACTGTTTACCCACAGTCAGGAAGCCTTTTTTAATTTTTCTACTTTCCTCCTATTGAACATGGTCCTTCTCTGAAAGACCCCCCCCCCCCCTTCAGCATAGCATCTATTTCATTATAATTTATATCAATAATTTGATCTGGCAACTGAAAATGCTAAGCACTTGGTAACTGCTTTGAGATCAATACCAGCAGTCAATAACTTCTACATCATTTATAATTTGAAACTGAATGTATCAGAAGAGTCACATACGCCAGAAATAATTTCACTGATTCTATGTTTAAGCTGTTATATCAACCCAAACACCCTTTAGTTATATATATATAAAAATATGTATACAAAGGAGGAACAATTAACCACAAGTGTTCCTAAAACAGGAGGTGTCCTTTTACACTCTCCAATCAGTAACAGGAATTCACAAGTGTGTTTGTGCCTCTATATTTGGTGGAATTTCCTTTGTCATACTATAGGAGGTAAACGAGCTTCTTCCTAGCTTCAAATTCTTTACTGTACTGCCACACGCACCCCGTCACAACAGAACCCCACTGGACACAGAAGCCAACTGCACTGCGCTCACTGGTCAGAAACGTCCCAGATACGTGCAAGGATATCGAGTGCGGGGACCCTGACTCTATCCCTTCAGGCTCCTTTTCTTGCTGCTCCATGAGCATTTGCCTGCCCCCGCTGGGTCTCTTGGCTTCTGTTTTACATCCCCTCTCTTCAGCACCCCACGCTTCAGAAGATGACCAACTGTCCTCTGATCCTGGCCACGTCCTAAACCACGATCGTATTATCTTGAGCTCTAGAGGAACATGATAATATCTTATGGCTAACATCTAAGAATAGGGGGAAAAAAAAAAAAATCTATCTTTCCAGACCATTGAGCTCGAAGAGGTGGGCTTTGTCATAAAGCGCATGATGCGACGTAACAAAAAATATAAATTTCAAATCAGTTTACTGTGATTTATCTACCAGAAATGAGGAGGAGGAGGATGAGCCAACAACTGAGGTATCAACTTTGTGTATAGAGACCTAGATATATCTTGTTCCTGAATGCCATCTGCCTGTGAGACTTGAGGGAAGTAACTTTCTGTCTGTGCCTCAACTGTTCAGCCATGCAAGGGGGACAAATTGCTGCCTCAACCTCACGTGAGATGGAGAAAAAAACACCTTAAGAATACTGAGGTGCTTAAATAATGCTGCTGATCTGGGCTGAGGAGGAAAGTACACTGTTGACTTTAAACATCTCGGGCAATTATCCTGATTACACAAAGTTTTAGTAGGCAAATTCAAGCCTGGATCCAACACTCACTTAGGGAGTCAAAGCTTTTAAAAAGGATCAGTGCTCACTAGGCTAATGTCATTTAAATTGGACAGTGACTCCAGCAGAGTTTATTAATGTTTTATCTCTTGATGTGGCCCCAAACAATTCAGAATCTTAGGCTCAGTGGAAACATGGAGCACTTTGTTCGAATCTTTCAAGCTGGTGCTTCTTAGTACCAGTAAAAATAGTAGCCGCCCAAATACTGTTTGCGCGAAATAAAAATCTTTATCCAAATTTGGTTTGCACCATTTTATAACAATGAATAAGCATTAAAAAAAAAAGTCACCTTTCTCCCTCCCTCTAAATATAAAACTAAATTCTCACCTTCCTGCAAGCTGAGCTTTGAAATGCTTTCTGAGAATGGCGGTTGCAACAAAAACTAGGACCAAATGTGCCACGTGTTGAAGGCATTGGTAGGAAATCTACTCGAGACAGAGCAGTCAGCAAAGAAAAGCCTGTTGAGAAGATAAGTAAATAAATAGGAGGAAGAAAAAGACTTCGAAATAGGAAGAAAGACCTGGGGACAGAAAGAGGCTCCAGAGCAGAATGCATGAGAAAGACCTGGGGCTTTTTAGCTAAAAATCAGATTGGAAGGAATTTATTTAGACCTTGCAAGCAAATAGAGTGAAGAAAGTAACTCTGAGTAAGTAAAGCTGACTGGGCCAGAGAAGAATAAACTCAACAGAGAGATCCTCAGCGATACAAACCGCCACATCTCCGCCGAAGTCAATGAAGCTACAGCAATTTATGCCACTTCAGCGGCACTGCGACAATTCATACCATTTATACTCTATATCCTTTATGTTGCGATCAGTGGAGCTGCGATAACTTATTCCAGCTGCCTCGACGGGAATTGGTCCAGCCCAGCTTATTCTCTTGTTCTCAGCACCACCAGCAAATGTGGTTATGTTGGAAGAGACCAGTGACTGCTGTCTGACTGTCCAAATAGCTCGCGTTATTTCCTATTTTGCAAATTAAACCGATTTGACTCTTTTTTTCTACGTCAGGCAGGTGCACGCTGGCCAGAACCACGATCTCCTGCACTGAACAAAACCATTTGAGAGGAAAATGGAAATGGTTTTGGAAGCCATACACCACACACCCTATCTGCTTGAAGTCTGCAACCTGATTTAAAGCCTGGGCATTTAATTGTGAACTGCAAATTTCAAAATTAAGAGAGCGCCAATTTTGTCTTCCACGAGCTGGAAAAGTATGTCCTGATAGAAGACGACATCATGTAAAACAGCCATCATTACCAAGTAACACAAATGTTTTTCGTATGTAAAATTGCTTTGTAAAATATTTGCTCCATCTGCTGAAAGCCGCAAAGACAATTTTCCCTGATAGCTAATGGCCCATTTCAGCTGTATGGCAAGCGATTCACCGGGGCTGCGACTTGCATTAAGTAGGACGGCGAGAACGGCGCGCAGAATTCTCCACTTATGGCGTATTATCTGCTCGCTGCTTCCTGAGAGCCCGGCCCCTCATTATCACGGCCTTCGCTTTGGATCAGCACACAGGACTGAGGTTGCTTCGGCTCGAGAGGCTTTTTGTCAAGCGGAGGCACATATGCTACGCTTCGATACAAAAGCACAAAACAGCCACTTCCCTCGACTACAAGAACAAGAAGGTTAGTTCTCTTTCAACTTTCCAGCACTTAAACTGCTGTTCCTTTTTTCACACCACATGGGGCCATGGTTTTCTCTTCTGGCTCATGCTGTCGCTCTGCAGGCTGAGGATTTCACCATGTAAAGATCAAGCACTTCTTTTAATTCTAAATTCAACTACTTACACACACACACACACAAAAAAAAAAAGAAAGAAAACTCCCCCACTGGCCTAGTCTGAAAAAAAACACCCCAAAACCCACTCCTCCCAATTGCTTGTTTCATTGTATATTTTGCTATTTCCATGGAAAAGCACATGTTTACATTGTGCCCCGAACTACTTCAACATCTGCGAACAGACCAATAAAAAATAAATAAACCAGGATTGTTTAGAAAGAGAGATCCTTTCTATTTCCTCTGAACGCTCCTGAAAGTGGCAGCAGCAATATGCTGCGAGGTCCCTTCTCGTAGATGTCATCTTGGAAAACAAGATACGCGGGGAAATCGAATATCAAATCACTGCAGCCCGTGTTACCAAAAAATCAGACAGAAAGAGGATCTTGAAAGCAGTAGGAGCTTGTCAAATAATTCTGCATATTGATGCATGGTGTGATAATTTGAGATTAGGCCAGTTTTTTAAACGGTTTGCTTTTTTTAATCCAAAAATCTTCTTACTTGCCATGCATTCCCATTTTATGCTTAAAGGTACGTCTGCTGCGAGGCTGCAGCCTTTGTTTTTCAAGGTTCCCCCCATCTACCTTCAGAGCGAAGAAAACTTAAGTGTGATTGTCATCGTCTTCAAAAGCGTCTCTCTTAAAAATCGGACGCTTGTTTCAAATGTTGCATTTGTAAATTCAGGACATTGGGATGTTAATCCTCACACAAAATGAAATTAGTAATATTTGACTGCATCTTTTCAGTATTTTAATGAGATCTCTGCAAATGCACAAACAATTCAGGTTAACAATGTTTTCCTAATTGATTTATTTTTCTCTATTTCGCTCCCTAAACATTTTGTTCACTTGCTTTCCTTTCTGGCTTGTATGTCTAAAGAAAGAATCCTAATGAATTCCAAAAGCATGATTTCAAAAAGGAGAAAAAGACATCCTAGGGATAAGCCGCAGCCACTTCCCAGGAATTTTATCGGAATTGCTGAGCTGCAGTGCTAACGGAACTGTCAGACAAAACCTGCATTGTATTTCGCCAACAACGCACAGTTAAACTCCTTTTATTCTTAGAGTTGCCTGGGTGTTACTTTTTGGATTTCAGCAAAACAAACATTTTTAAAATAATCCAAGCAGCCTCTTTATTGGGTGCGATAACATTAACGGATTTCAGATTTCTTCAGTGCTCTTGCTTTATCTTCTCCTTCCCGGCTGTTATTGCTACAAACTGGCACTTAAATTCAATTGATTCAAAATATTCTGGATCCATATGGCCTCAAACCCTGGAGCTGAAGTTCGGATATTGCCTCACTGCTGTTTTCTAGCATTTGCCTCTCCTCCAGTCCCCAGATGGTGGAAGTAACATTTAAACCTCCTTTCCTCTGCCTTGTACAATAGACCTTGGCACCATTTCAACTGTTTACTCCGGTAATTAACAGCACTGATACCACAACAATTACAACTCCTACAATCTTAACACAATAATGCTATGAATTAGTGAGAGCTAATGGCTGGAAGGTATAGTGGTTCCAGACTGCGAGATCTGTGCATTTTTAGAATAAAATAAAAGGTACAAACAGCACGCTTGCGGTAGACAATGATTACCTAGTAATTAGTTTACACAAAGCTTCCTATTTAATGGCAAAACGCTGTAATTAACGCGTGACAGAAAATCAAAGGGTACTTTGTAAGCATATGAAAAATTAACACTGCAGGCCTATAGCTTTATGTACTGATTAGAAGCATATTAAATCAATAGGACATACAAACCAACAGCTTGCATATCTGATT